GCCTGCCTGACCATAAAACGCACCTCTAGCACTAAATCTTTTGGATAATCATCTGTGAAATGCTATTTTTAAATGGACATCAGGGCTCAGTCATGCTGTAAGTTAATGCTCTGATAGCACTATTATGCGATCAGCAACGAATGTCATCTATGGGGTTTCTTTTCCACGACCCTCTACCTGTGGCTCGCCCAAGCAGCCTTTGCATCCTTAAGCAGAACCCAAACACTGAGCCACAGCTACAGCTCAGCTGCAATTTCCTATCAGGCAACCTACACACCCTTTTGTACCATAAAACACCTAAGAGCAGCCCCAGGAGGGAAGTCAAGCTTTGGCTTATTTTTCCCCTCGGAAAGCAATCTTTACAGAAAGCTGTAACATTTCCCCTGAGGCAGAAAGATGAAACCTCCAGCTCTCCCGGCCCCGGACAGGTTGGGAGCCAGTCCCCTCTGCAGCAGCCCTGCCCACAGCTCACGCACCCCCTGCGCTTCCCTCGTGCTGACTCAGCCAAGCCTGTGTACAAGCCCAGGAGGATGGGAATAGAGGATGGGAATGGTTCTTCTGGCTGACCCTCCCCGCACTGCCACCCCGCCCATCCCAGAGAACAGGAATGCAGCCCTGGCCACACTTCCCAAGCACCCCTCTTCAGTTAACCCTCACAGCAAATCCGGGCCACATGGAAGGCCGTAAAGGTTCATCTACACTCAGACGCAGGGGAGGGCAAGCTTTCCAGGATGGTTAAGGAGGAAGATGTGAGGCAGACAACAAACGTGAGCCATCAGAAGATGTTAGGAATTAAGCCAGCATATCAATCAAGAAAACAATTTCACATTATGCACAAATTTCAAAGTATGGAAACCAGCAATTCATAGCCACAAAGAATGAACACTGCACACTCTGATGAGCGTCAATCCCCGAAACAAAATCACCCACAACATGCAACTTTCTCAGTGGATTTACTTTCTCTGACTCAAGTGTCCTACAAAACAACGCCACCTTTCTGTCAATCAAAATATACTTCTATTACTGCACTGAACTATGCATAACCAATTTGCACAGGAAACATTCAATAAATAAATATCTCTTGAATTAATGAATAATCGCTCCCTAACGATGCCTGCTGTGAATTTTAAAGATTCTAAAAATGCAGGTGGAGAGGAAAGAGATACTAAATCTGGTTAACAAAAATCAGCACTTTTAAAAAAAGACAGGACAGCCCTGGGGCCTGGGATCCAGTGCCACAACTCAAAGGCTGAATCCTCACCGTGCAAGCTCTGGGACCCCAAGTGGGTAGTGGCTTGTGTCCCAGTTCCTCCACTTCCCATACAGCTCCTTGTTTATGACCTGGGAAAGCAGTCCAAAGCCTTGGGACTCGGCGTCCCCATGGGAGACCCAGAAGAAGCTCCTGGCTTCGGATCAGATCAGCTCTGGCTGTTGCAACCATATGGGGAGTGGACCACCAGATGGAAGATCTTTTTCTCTGTCTCTCCTTCTCTTTTGTGAATCTGCCTTTCCAATAAAAATAAATAAAATCTTAAAAAGAAAGGAAAGAAGGGAAAGAAAGAACAGCCCTGACCTTCACCAGCATATGCAATGGAAATTATCTGGGGCTGGTGTAACGCACAGCACATTAATCTTCCCCCTTGCAACACTGGCTTCCTGCACAGATACCAGTTCTAATCCCAGTGCCCCACTTTCCAGCTGGCTCTCTGCTTGTGGCCTGGGAAGGCACCAGAAGATGGTCCAAGTCCTTGGGCCCCTGCATTCACATGAGAGGACCAGGAAGAAGCTCCTGGCTCCTGGCTTCAGATGGGCCCAGCTCTGGTCACCGTAACCATTTGGAGAGGGAACAAGTAGACGGAAGATCTGTCTGTCTGTCCCACTCTCTTTGTAATTCTCACTTTTAAGCAAAATAAATAAAATTAAATAAAAAAAGAACTCTAAGTGACATAAAGGCAAACACTGGAAAATTTAACAACGAACAGAAACAGGTTTGGCCCATCGTTGTCAGCGACTGTCTTCACTCGGCAGACTTCTAGAAAACGAAGCCGTGAGATAAATCGGAGCTCTCTAGCAAGTATTAAATCCTGTAAGTTATCAAACAGCAATTACATAGCAGCATTAGTCTTTAAAAAAAAATTACCTATGATTCAAGAGCAAAGAAAATATGGACTATCATTTATGGCAGGCCTATTTATGAGACAGGAAAGTGGAGATTAAAAAAAGATTCAGACTTCTGGCACCAAGAGGCTCCTGAGCAAAACCAAACAGTGCCACCTGCCCCAGGAGTGCAACCGCCCTCCTGGAGTGACCCCTGGAAACCGCTGCCTGTCCCCCAGCTTTCTCCACTGGTAGCGACCCTTTCTGCTTTCTTCTCTCAATAAAGCTTTAGGGTTCACGCACACCATCCACACTGTACTTTTAGAAAGAAAAAGCCTTATTTATTTCCATTGGAAATGCAGACCCAAAGAGAGGAGAGACAGAGAAAGAGGTTCACTCCCCAAGTGGCCGCAACAGCTGGAGCTGAGCTGATCCGAAGCCAGGAGCCAGGAGCTTCTTCCAGGTCTCCCATGCAGGTACGGGGCCCCAGTAACGCGCTCTGACCAGGGGGTAAAACGTGGCCCACTGCTGGGGAGAACCTGGCGATGTCACAGTTTTGGGTAGAGTCTTGGATTTTCTCACAACATTAAACACAAGACAACCACATAACCCAGCAGCTCCAGTCCCTAGTATAGACCCAAAGAAGTCACATGTCCAAGCGAAAAGCTCACGAGTGGGGTGCTTACACGATCCCGTAACAGCCAAAAAGCCACGGACAAATGGAAAGGGGGGTCTGGTCTTTTCACACTGAGAATCTTACAGATAGAACTACCAACAAGTACAAAGACACAACACTGCTGCACCTTCAACCCGGTGTAACAGGGCCTGGAAAACCTCCCAGGAACCATTGCTCCCTTAACCACTGAACAAATTACGATTCAGTCACACAATGTAATACCAAGCAGCCATTAACAAAACTGCTGGAATTGCACAATTTCTAGAAACTTGAGTAGGTGCACAAAGAACTGGAAGGGGGAAATTAAACACCAGGAAAAGCTGCCTCCATCTTTTCAAAGTGTGTGTGTGTGTGTGTGTGTGTGTGTGTGTGTGTGTGTGTGTTGCTGCTGAAATTAAGAAAACAGCCACGCAGGACAAAACAAGGACAGGCCTCAAGCCTCCCCTACAAACCCAACCAACAGCAACCCCAACTCGGCCTCCAAGGTGAGCTGGCCTCCCTGCGTACCACACTGAAGGCAGGCCTGTATCCATGCTATTTTTCCAGGGAGGTAGGGACCCTCACTGGAGCAAGGTGGGACACGGAGAGACCCCCCCCCAAGAAAACAGCCCTACCCCCCCCCAGGCACTAACCAGAGCCGGACTCTCCCATTGGTGCTGCTTAGTTAGTTAACTTGTCACCCCCTCGCAAAAATCACTCACTTTTTCTGTCCTTGAAAGAGAAGGAAGAGTTACCAGGAGGCTGTCGAGAACCGTGCTGATGGGAACCAACGGAATGTTCAGTACAATATGGACACCTCCCTTTCTACATTAAAACCCTCAACTACTTTCCCGTAGCTTCAACGCTTTCAAAGTTCATCCGCTTCGGCCCGAGCGGTAACGAAGTGAGGCCGTTTTGTAGGCACCACTATGCAGAACAAACGTTCTGCTAACAAGTTCTCTGAAAACAGAAGAATGCGTAAAACAGGCTGTGAGTGCTCGTGCAAGCATAGAGCATACACATACACACACGAACACACGACAAGACCTGTTTCTGGAAGTCTTCACTTCACTGAAGGCTTGGAGATAACTTTTGTACCAACTTTTGTACGCCTTTTAGAACCAGTCTGTACCACATAGCCAGCTGTATTAGCTACCGTAACACTAAGTGCCATCAATACACTAAGTCCTTTTTACAGAATACATAAATAACACAGGAAGAGAGACAAAAGGAAGGTGAAGAAGCACCCGTCCCTCCCTAGCGGGGGGCAGCTCCCAAGGAGGGCCCCCAGATCCAGCCCCGACAAGATGGGGGGCTTCGAGTCCCACGGACCCCGGCAGGTGCCAGCCCGGGTCAGGTACTTAATGGCAACCCCTTTCTTCCTCTTGCCTCCTCGGCTTCGCTTAAAACGGACCAAGGCTTCGGGAGTGGACACCCACCAACAACCTGTTCCCTCAGAGGCAATGAATGTTCTTGCCGCTCCGGCTCACCTGGGCTAAGGGTAAGAAATGGTTTATAAAGCCGTGCGCATGCAACGCGCGCGGGAAGCCACCCGCACCTTCCGCTCCACGCCACGCCGGACACCCGCACGCTCCGGGGTCACCCGAGGAAAGCCCAGCGGCTGCCCAATTCCTCTTCTGGGTCTTTCGAGAGCCGGGAATCCGCCCTAACACACCTGTTCGCCCTGGCCGCGTAAACAAGCAGGGGCCGAGCCAACCATGTGACGCCCTCCTCCGGGTCCAGGCGGGACAAGGGGCTCCCCCCGGCAGGTGTGAGGGGTGCAGCTGGACTTCAGACCGGACCCTGCGGGACCCTCGTGCCCACCGGGAAGCGCCCGCGTCCAGCATTGCCCTGCCCGTGCTCGTGGAACCGTCCGGGGTTGACTCACGGGGGAGGCGACGTCCACAAGGACACAGAAAAAAGCTCAAAGGGAGGAAATGCACTTTTTGGGCGCCAAGCTGAAGCCCCGCAATTTAGGAAAGGTGACCCCCCACACACACACACACCCCGGCCCAGCTTGCCAGAGGAGCGCAATGCGAGCTAAACCGATCAAAGTTGCAGCTCGCGGCCGCCGACCAGGAACGAAGGGGGGCTCTGCCGGGGGGAGCCTGCAACTGCAGGGGGGTGTGGCGGCCGGGACGCCCCCCGGAGGCGCCCGGGGTGCAGAGTGGGCTTCGGCCCCTTTCCCTCTCCCGTCCCCCCCACCCAAACCCCTGCAACTCGCGCCTCTGCCCCCCCCCCGACTTACCGGTGATGTCCAGGTACAGGTCGTCCTGGTCCAGGTCGTGCAGCTCCTGCGGCGTGGAGCTGCGGCTCTTCTTGACGCCGGGCGAGGTGGACGAGCAGCGCCGCGAGCAGGGGGGCGCGGCGGCCCAGCTCGGCCGCCGATCGCTCTTCCGCTTCATGGGGACGACGGCTGCAGCCCGTCAGGCGCTGGGGAAGAGGGGGGAAGGACCACGACCGCTCGTCCGTCCGTCCGTCCGTCCGTCCGTCCAGGCCCAAGTGCCCGGGACGGCGAGGCGCGAACAGCAGCAGCAGCAGCAGCGGCAGCGGCGTTGGTGGGAACCGCGGCTGGCGCCGGCCGAGCCCAGAAGGAGGCGATCGCCGCGCAGCAGCCGGGGAGGAGGGGCCCCGGCCCACGGACGCCCGCCCCGATCCCTCCGGCTTCAGCGCCTCCTGCAGCCGCGGCCGACGCCCCCCAGCCCGCCCCCCAGGGGCCCGCAGCGCACTGGCGCGGCCGGCGGTGGCGGCTGCTGCCCGGGGCGAGCGCGCGCGCGTCCCCCGCGGCCGCGGACGCAGCAGCCGAGGCGCCCGAGCACAGCGGGCCGCGGCTCCCGGGGACCCCAGGAGGGCTGCTCCGTGGAGCTTCATTCACAAAAAAAAAAAAAGGGCCCACAACCCTCCTCGGGACCCGCAGGCGGACGCCTGCCATTGGTCGGCGCGGCGTGACGTCACGGGGACGGGGCCTTTCTACAGGCAGGTACCCGGTGACGCCATAAAGAAAAGTCTGAGCGGCTTCGCCAATCGGAGACAAAGTGTGCTCGCGACCCCCGGGCTGGGCCCCCAACTTTTGTTCCTCGCGGGACCTCGGTTAGCTTGTTTTCCCTAGCCGCCATCCCCTCTCCCGGTCCCAACTTCCTCCAGTCAGTCCCGAACCTGTACACGGGGCGCCCCCCGACACAATCACACACACACACACACAGACTCCCGCCTCAGTCCCTCACGCCACATCTGGGACGTGTGTGCATTGTCAAGTATTTCTGGGTTCCCCTGGTGAGTTGGCGCCAAGTGAGAGGGAAAAAAAAAAGAGATTGTGGCCATGGCCGCCGCCTCGGACCGGCGGCTGCGTGGCCTTGAGGGAGAGCGAACTTGAGCCCGTTTCAGTCAGGAACGCCCGATCGGGCTGCCTGTCCCCCCGGCGAGGTGACAGCCCCCTCAGACGCGCGCCGGACGGGTCCCTCGTCCCGGGGTCCCCAGGGCCCACGTGAACTCGGCCACGGTGCTGCACCCCGTGTGCCGCGTGCGGCAGGGGTGCCCACGAGATCCGTTCTAGAAGGACGACGTGTGGGTGGAAACGAGGGGGGGTGAATTTTGCCCTTGAACTTTTCTAGATCTCACTCGCGGTCCCTTTAAGTGGAACCAAAGTTGTCATTTTGGAAGCCCTCTAGACAGATGCGCGTGGCCACGGCTCCCTTATGTGCAAGCTCTTTCAGTGTTTTTCAGCAGCGTTTTAACTTGGGGTTGACGCCAGTCCCCCCTCCCCCACCACCTGCACCCCGGGAAGCCACTCAGAAATGCTAATTTCTGCTGGCTAGCGCCTCCCGTGAGGGGCTGTTAGAATCCTATTGTTGTGGACATTTCCCCTTAAACGGTGCTAAATGAGGAAGGCGGGGACTTGCAGGCCCGCCTGCCAGGGGCTGCCTGGGGCTGCCAGGGGCTGCCAGGGGCTGGCGGTTCTGTGCTGCCTGGAAGCCCCTGTCGGCCTTGCAACACGAGTTGTGTCTGTGTGACCCGAAGATGCGCGGCCTGAGGCCGCTGTACACCTGAGCTCCACCAGCGTGGGCTTCCAAGTGCAGTGTTAACAAGGGGAGGCAGGCCTTGGCAGCCCGGCTCTCAGCCTCTGCACCAAATGTGTCCCCAAACTCTGCAGTGTTCACACCACACAGGGGTTTTCTGCGAGGCTCCCCCAAAACTCAGGTAATCCCAGAACTTTCCATCCTCTGACAATTAAACTAAGAGTCTGGGTGCAGGGAGAGAGGTTTCAGAGAGGAGACTTGAAACCTGATAAAAATCCACGTTTTGCATGAAGTTGCTGACAGAAGTACAGTTCAGGTATGCCCCTCTTTTAATAAATGCACAATTTTAGGCTGCCCCTGCTATGTCAGGAGGAAGCCTTGTCACAATGTGGAAGAATCTTCTGTTTCCTTGGGAAACGAGGGGTTTGGGGAAAAGTCACAGAAAACACAGATTATGAACAAAAGGGCAAATAAACCCCTTTTCATTCCATTTTCTGTGAACTTTGGAAGTCCCCTTGTACAAATCCAAGTGCATAAATAGGCTGACACCGGCCCCCAAAGGCCTTATTTTCTAGTAGCAGCTTTTAAACCTCAGATTTTCACTAAGGAATGTTTTTTAGATGTATCCCAAGTGATTTAAAAAAAAAATATGAACATGTGATTGTATATCTTGAATTCAAGCAAAGAGAAAACTATATATTTGTGCAAATGCATATGTAAGAAAGTTCTTTATCTTCATATTGCAATCTTCCAACCTTTAGCTACTGTTAATACCCTGTATGGAGATTTAAAATATCCAATTTTTAACTAACTGGTTCATATTGTGCACAGTGTTCTATGAGCTTTTTTCACGTATTAATAGTGCATTTTAAAAATATTCTTTATTAGTCTTTATTACTAATCTCATTCATTCTAAGAGTTGCGTGGTTTCCTTTGTATGCTTCTTATTTCTTCCCCTGTGGATGAATGTTAGCGCTGGACAGAGGTTGAGAAGAGAAGGGCTTGAACAAGCAATTTTTTTTTATCATTGTCTTAAAAGGTATATATTCACAGGAGGGGTAATGGTTGGAGTAAAGGGTGTTCATTTTTTTAAAGTTTCCATTAATAATAACAACATTTAAGGGTCTTTCCCTAGTCTTGAAATGATTACAAATATAATCGACATTTTAAGTTTGAGAATAAAACATAATGCAGCGCTATTATTTTCTTTCTGTAAAGATTGATTTCTTTGAAAGACACACAGAGAGACAGGGAGACACAGAGATCTTCCAACCTCTGGTGCACTCCCCGAATGACCACGATGGCACGGGCTCAGTCAGCCACAAGCCAGGAGCCAAGAGTTTTATCTGGGTTTCCCACGTGGGTGCAGGGGCCCAACCAATTGGGCCATCTTTGCTGCTTTTCCAGTTGCATTACAGGTGGCTGGGCCAGAAGCAGAGCAAACGCATGCTGATATTACAGGTGGCAGCTTAACCCCCTATGCCATCCACCAGCCCCTTGCCTTATTTGCATTACATTTCTCAGATCACAAGGGAAATTTAGATATTTGTGGTGCTTTTTTTTTCTTAAAAACTTCTTGCTCATCAGTGGATGGAAGACTTTCTGCCTCTGCTCTCTATACATCTGATTTTCCAATTAAAAAAAAAACTTTATTTATTTGAAAGATACAGATCTCCCCATTCTCTGACTCATTTATCAAATAAATGCCTACAACAGCCAAGACTGGGCCATGAGCTGGTAGCCAAAAACTCAAGCTGAGTCTCCCATCTGGATAGCAAGGACCCACGAACTTGAACCTTCACCTTCTACTTCCCAGGGAACATGTTAGCATCAGGAATCAAGACCGGAGCCAGGACCCGAACCCAGACACTTGCAATCATCCCAAGTGACATTGTAAGGACTGCACAAGCTGCTTTTCCCCTAAAAATATTCTTGTGAATGGATCTAGCAACACCTTAAACTGAACTTTTCATTTTGCTTCACTAAGTAAGAGGTGAGCCAACAAGATATTCTGTGCTCCTTGCTTACAATACAACAGGAAGAACCAAACATTCTGTCTACAAATGTTTCCCTTGGGGCTAGTGTGAGACTGCTGCCCTGTGGCACCAACCGCCCATATGAGCACCGGTTCATGTCCTGGCCGCCGCTTCCAATCCAACTCCCTGCTTATGGCCTGGGAAAGGAGTCGAAGATGGTCCAAGTCTTTGGAGAGATCTGGAGAAATCTCCTGGCCTCTGGCTTCAGATGAGCCCAGCTCTGGCCCTTTTGGCCATTTGAAGAGTGAGCCAGTGAGTGGATGGTCACTGTCTTCTCTCTCTGTAACCCTGCTTCAAATAAAAAATAAGTAGATGGGGCCCAGCGCGGTGGTCTAGCAGCTAAAGTCCTCACCTTGAATGTGCCAGGATTCCATATGGGCACTGGTTCTAATCCCAGCAGCCTCACTTCCCATCCAGCTCCCCGCTTATGGCCTGGGAAAGCAGTTAAGGACGGCCCAAAGCCTTGGGATCCTGTACCTGCCTGGGAGACCTGGAAGAGGCTCCTCGTTTCAGATTGGCTCAGCTCCCACCTGGAGAGTGAATCAGTGGACTGAGGATCTTCCTCTCTGTCTCTCCCCCCTCTCCTTGTATATCTGGCTTTGCAATGAAAATAAATAAATCTTTAAACAACAACAACAAAAAAAGTAGATCTTCAAAAAAAAAATTACCTTGATTCTATCAAGCCTTGAGACCTAACCTGAATTTGCAGGAGACCTGGGGTGCAGCAGAGCCCTTGAAAGACTCCTGAGGAGACAATCTAAGGAGACAATCTGTGGCATCCTAAGTGTGAGACTTCATGCAATTGCTGTCCCTTCAGCAAGTAAATGTCATGGGAAGAAACTGCTGGAGCCAGTGGAGGCTTCCCTGTTGTGGTAGAGTGTGCAGCGTGAATCCATTACTTTTCCTCTTTCCAGGAAAAAAAAAGGAGTTGTATTTTGGCTCATGGTTTTGGAGGTTCCAAAATCGGACAACCCCCTGGGTCTGGTGTCTGCTGAAGGTGATAGGTGACAGCAGGTGGAAGGAGGCTCATGAGGAGGCCAGGAGGGAGAGTGAGAGAAGAGCTGGGCTGAACTCAGCCTCTGTAACCAACTGTGTCCTGAGAGCCTCTACACTAAGGGTCTTCTGGTAGACCAGCACTCACCTGCAATTACATGGAGCTTTGATCCTGAATCTGTGAAGCACCTGTGTTAATTAATGATTAACACAAGACCTTGGATTGTAAACATATACATGATTCAAGGAATCAAATCCTGCTCAAACCATAGCAATCCTTTTTTTTTTTTTTTTAATTTTTTAAGTTTTTATTGGAGAGAGAAGGAGAGACAGAGAGAAAGATCTTTCATTTGCTGGTTCCCACCCCAAGTAGCAGCAATGGCTGG